TATGAGGTTGCGTTTGCTCATTTGGGGCTTATTGCTTATAAAGTTCCCTGCGAGCAGAACCTCTCCGTTTTATTCATTTAAAATATTCTTGAAACTCCAAGTTGGGCAGCCTTTAGATTTTAGAAATATTTTCTTGTGGGGACAACAGAAGAGTAAGTCCCAAATGAACGCTTGATTTCCCATGAAACTACAATTCAATTAAGTAAACTGGGACTACATCAGAAACAAAATACGAAGCACTGCGAATTCAATAATGGCTCGAAAATTTCCTAGACGTTTCGCTTAACAACAGCGGAAAATGGGCTGTTAACTTATCTGTGAATCAACCTAACCTCTGCATCAAGACGTTTTTTTTTGAAACAGTATGCCATTAAATCCCTATGTTGCTGATCGATTCCCCTGTGTGAACATAACTTCGCCTACCATTATAATAATTGGTAAAACGCTTCGCGATCTATCTCCTTCATGTTACACTCTTGTAAGACTGAAGGCGATGTACACGCTCCTACTGTTTTACTCAACTTCGTCAAGTGGTTTCGCACGTCCATATAAAATACCAGATGGGGAGTTTGGTGGACTTTAAAATCCTGCGCGTTAAATTCATCATATTCAATTATTAAGTGCACGAAGATGTGAATTTTGCAGTGCATTGGAAGAACTAGAGACCCCAGTCGGGCACTCAGCCATTTTGTTTCTCTAGGTGCACCGGTATACATCTTAGTCAACTGACTAGTACACAGATTGCTCCATAAGATTGATTGTCATGTTTACGAATCTACACACGCGAACTATGGGGCAAGGCTCAAACTCTTGACTTCTCTATCTTCAGGAAGTCAAGTTGGGCGTACGAATGTTTTCAATTAGTTCATCATCAGGCAACTACAATAATATAAAGGAGGGTAGAGTTAACAAAATGTTAAGCAACCGATCAGTAGTAATAAGGGGGAGAGGGGGCGGTGTTAAGGGATCAAAGGGGTCCAATTCTAATCATAATTAGGGACCAGAGAGGGGAAAAAGGTCCGATTGTTAGTTCATGTCGCTGCATCGTCCTTGTCCCGCGTTTTGTCGGGAGGCGTGAGGACATAAGCTGTCCTGCACGAAACAATCAGTCAGGATATTTGTGCGTGCATTTTAAGCATAAGTGAATGATTCGGTAGAAGGAGTTCTTTGGAAAACAATGGTTCATTGAGTAAATTTTCGATGCTGGCATACTAGGTCGTCGTCAGACGGATGGAAATTGTACAGAAAGTCTTTGACTTCATGTGCTCAGCTCCAACACTCGGCCACCATCCTGGGAGTTAACCACTGGATAAATTTTTCCAAAATATTGCGTGTTGCGGTAGTTAATTAGGTAAAATATAGGAATGTGACCCCCTGTAGCGTAGGTGTCCTTTCCCTATTCCAGTAATTACATCCCTAACACTAAACTTAAGCCAATATTTTACACTGACTCTTCAATTCAATCTAAACGTAAACTCAGCAGTAATCCTAACGCGTATATTAAATAAAACTTTAGCCTTACCGCAAGCGTAACTCCTATCCTGACCTCAAATGCAAACCTAAACATAAACAACCCTTTCTTGCTCCTCAGTCTAAACTTAACTCTGACCTTTTATATAAACCAACTGTTAATCCTCACTCATAACTCTACTTACCTCCTCCTTACCTTAATAAGACTCCTAACCTTAACCAAATTCCCATATTTCTGTAACTTATTCCAAGATATGGGTATAAGAGAGGGTTCCGATTCACATATTTTTACCTCAAAGTATTCCTGCTTTTCGATTGTATCCGAAATCCGAAGTGCTGTGCCTCTCTTTTTATAAATTGCCCATTTTTAGAAGATTTTCTCTACTGTAAACGTTTTTGATATCCTTGGATTCAAATATCTGAGTGTACCAGAATAACGGTGCGTCGGTAGCATGTGACTATTCAAGGTTTATATAGATTGAAATACTTAAACTCAGCCTGCTTTGCGACTAAGGGGAGCCAATCTGTCAATTTAAAACATATTTTGTTGGAATAGATTATATCAGCAAAATATTTGATATATTTGAACATAATTCGTCCATTATCTCCGCATCTTAAAGGCGCTTAATAACATTATGCAGTTAATTATATTTAATCACTGCAAAGCGCCTTATCCGCTGATCGTTAATCATGTCATTTTTTCTAGTTAACGATGACCAATTCCCAAATTTTGAATTTCGCGTGCAATGTGGAAACTGGTTTTGATTAAATGAATGCTAATAGTTCCTCCCGCACTTTTACGGTTATATTGGCATCAATAGCTAGATACAAACTCGCTCGATTTGTAAACCTATTTCATTTTGTGATGAGGTTTCATCGTACAAAGCAGATCGAGAAAACACTTTTTACGGGTCATCGAGGGTATTCTCGAAATTGTTTATCAAGCCTAAAATCGTGAGTCATTGAGGTAAAAGTGTAACTCAAGATTAATGACTCAGCCACAAATTTTATGTATTACTGAACTCCAGCTTAGACCAAATAAAGTGAAATTTTTAACTTGCACTGATTGCTGTTGTTGATGAATAGCCTTCAGGTAAAGTTAAGCTGTATTTCATGCAGACCTCCTTGGTGGTGGCCGCGGGGAAGAAAGTAGAAATCACTATCAAAAACGATGCGACTTCAGTCGGTAGTCAGTATCAGTCAGTATATTTGGAGTAAATGACCGAAGCCCTTAAAAACTTCATTGAAATGGTACAGGAATGCATAAGTTTTTGTGAAATATGCGACTTAGAGCAGGTTGCATAATCGATGAAATCCAAGGATTTTTGCAAGACATCCCTGGTACGTAAAAATAGGCCAAACTGCGTTCCCAAAAGTCTTAATGTATAAAAGTAAACATTCTAATAAAAAAGATGACATATTGTGGATTATCAATTAATATTCTGTGGTTAAGTAAAAGCAGTTTATTTAGAATAACAGGAAATTCTGAAAAAAAAAGTGAAAAATGGGAGCTGCTACTACGAAGAATAACGTTTGAAAATAATCCTTTTGTGAAATGTTAGGACACATATGCGGAGGTATTACGCGCAATGAAAAGGAAGATTGTTACCGAAACCTCTAAAGTCTCAAAACTTTTCTACATCCTTTGAGATACGCCAGACTAAGGCAACCAGATTTTCACTTGAATGCGCCGATTGTATAGTCACAGTAGTAAGGTATTTTGTAAGCTCAGGTGTTTAAATTTCGGTCCGCGACTAATAAATTGAAGTTAATTTGTAATGTGCAATCGTAAACATGTCATCCTTTGGACCTTGAGAGAAATTTCCTTCCGCCGCGTTCCTTCGTAATTATTTCGGGATTTTGAATGTGACTATCTTTAGGTTATCCTTGAAATTCTGCTTAACACTTAAAAAAATTCAGTGTTTTCATTCGCTTTTTCCTATATACCGATATTGTTATAAATGTTTAGCAAAAACTTCAAAATAAGATATTTCTTAAAAGAATTTACCTCAATAATGAGTTTTTTGAAATTTCCTTGGATATCAACAAACGTTGGATTTGGCCCACTTCTGCCCCTATTTGCACCCAGCAGTGAAGTATTTCCCAGGAAAACAGTATTTTGTGCCTCAAGCCAACTTAATGAACAAAATAAACAACCTCCAATATGTGCCAAATCCCCCACTCAAACATTGACCTTCACCTTTCATCAGATATACAATCTACTGTACTAGCTCGGAAGATATGAATGCGCCTGATGGGAAGTGACACTATCTACTAGTCTTTTGTTGCGTTGAATAGGTGCAGATTTGAAACAGTTGGAGGCCTCACTGAATTGCGTTGAGTTCGCTTTCATTTTTGCCTCTTTCTCCCCGATCAAACTCTTAGAATTCTGAACTGTTTGCAGCGCTGTAATAGATAAGTATTTTAACGACACCCTACACCTCTGCTTTTTCTCTCCCGTTTCACTTTTATTGATGTGCTAACATTTGCCGCAGTATTCTGAACTATTCGGGTTTCGTGTGGCAGATAGCTAGCGATGAACAATAGCCATGCATTCTCGTGGGAACGAGATATTGATATAGGTTGCAGGATTAAGGAGGCTTCTTCGTCGCTTGCATGTGTTTTGCCAGTTTTGTTATCAGTTCGGAGACCAGAGTTGCCTCACTTGCTGGCGGCAAGTGTTAAATCTCCCATAAATACGCACACTGAGCCTTATTGAGTCTATCACAGTGGGTTAAATTAATATATAAGACTCCTGCCGCTGCGATCTTCAGTTCTGGTTACTTATGGGAAGGGCAGAAGTGGGAGGCCAGAGTGGAAGGAATAGTTTATTCTGTACAAAAGGATAGGTAGGAGGAATTTAACCATCAGACAAGCGCGCAACCACAGCCAAGAGGGCCGCATCTGAGGTCTCTGAGCTCGGCAGCCGTCATGTGAGGTCATGTGTGAGTCAGCCATAAGGAGATTATTGGCCAGGCCGATATATGCTCGCTTTCTGGTAGCCGCAAGGGCTTGAACATTGCCGTGGTTGGCGGCACCTGTGATTGTCTGTCCCCGGGCGACCGAGAGTGCCATCACATGACCTCAGGAAAACGCTATAGGGTCACTAAAAGTTATCAGTCCGAGGAAATTTACACTGTATGGGTCTCCTGCTTAATTTCTGCTCTCAACCACACAAAAATGAACTTATAGTATCCAATAACATTATTAGACTTGGCTTTGAATGAAGTCATTCATCGTCCTTGCTCCTTGAACTTGACTCTGTAGCTCATACAGGCAGTCAATAATATGAATCACTTTGTTTTGAGTACGCAATATAAACAAATACTTTGATGTCTAGAATTAATGCTGGGTGAAGCCATACTCCTTTTTTCAAAAAAACCTTCAATTTTCTCTTATGTATCAAGCAGTCCTTTATTTTTTTCATTTTTCTTCTCCTACCTTAGAGATCGGAATGCAAATCAATCTGTTGGGAAGGATTTTTGATCGAAGCGCATGCTGAATTCAGCCCCTGTCACTGACTCCTCCGTATGGCTTGCTCTTTTCGGCCGCCTTTGATCAAAGCTGCCCAGGTTCCTTTCCTTTTTCTTCTCTTCTGTTTCGTCTTCCTCGCACTGGGCATACAGGAAGTCAGTTTCAGCGTGCGGGAGGAGGAACCGATTGGCAGTCTGGTGGGTGTTCTCCTACCCAAGATACCGGACTTCAGAAGAGGCAGCCAAACCAACCCCGTATTTCGCCTCATTCAAAAGGGTCACGCGGCCTACTTCAAGGTCTCACCCACCGGTGGCCGCATCACTATAGCTCAGGTGATTGATCGGGAGGCCCTCTGTCCGAGTGAAGGCACGCCCATGAAAATTGGCCTCGGCTTACCGCGATTAAATGGCCAATGTCAGCTGCGATTCACAGTGAACGTGCTGCCTCTCGGGACCGCAGAAATTATCGACATGATCCAGGTCACCGTAAATATACTCGACGCCAATGACAACCGATGTACCTTCGAGCCGTCAGATCATCAAACGGTTTATATACCAGAGGACAGCCGGACCGGTCCCTCATTTATGGTGCCTTTGAATAGGCCTTCTGACCCCGACTCTGACGCCATGCATCGTATTGATCCTCGAGGCATACGCCTGCGCTCAGCAGATGAACTGGACAGTGCCCGATACTTTGACCTGCACGTCGCCGAGACCAGTTCTCTGGAAAGACCGGTCTCCCTCCATCTCTCCCTCGCCAGACAACTGGACTACGAGGCGGCTACCACGCATAAACTTATCGTGACAGCAAGTGATGCCACGCGAATGGCCGACAAAACTTGCACCCTTCACCTCACTATCCAGGTTGTCGACGTGAATGACAACCCACCGCGTTTCGAAAAAAAACTTATGCATTTACAGTTGAAGGAGAACGCACCCGTGGGTTCCGTCATCTACCAGGTGAAGGCCACGGATGGCGATAAGGGCCCGGTCTTTGGTCGGCTCATTTACTCGCTGGGGCCCTACGCAGAAGCCGACGTACGTCAGCATTTTTACGTCTCCCCAAACAACGGCTCAATTATTCTCAAGAGGAAGCTCTCCTACGCACGCATCAATAAGTTCGAAATCCCGTTGGTTGTACGCAATCCGACACAATCGGAGGCTCAGGCATCACCCAAGGGTCCCTCCAACCAAGTTCCCGCAGCTCAGCGAATGGGAACTCCCCTGGAGACGACTGTTCATGACACGGCTCGTCTCATAGTCAATGTGATTGATGTGAACGACGAGAAGCCGGTGATATCGGTGTTCACTTTAGATGGCCACAATGACATCTCCATCGAGGAGAACAGAAATAATGTACCCTCAGATTTCGCCGTCGTTAGCGTCACAGACGGGGACAGTGGAGAAAATGGACGAGTTGAGTGTGAACTGGCTGCAAATTCAACTAGTCGCTTCCGATTGACAAGGATGACCAATATGAAACCCAGTGGCGCCTTTGACGGAGGCCAGGAGACGCTCTTTAAACTATCTGCGTTGGTTGCATTTGACAGGGAAGAAAACAGTCAGGTTCCGCTGTACATAGTGTGTTGGGATCTAGGGAAGCCCAGAAAGACCTCCGAAAAGCATGTGGTAGTAAACATCCGTGACGTCAATGACAATGCGCCTTTCTTTGATGCTCCCTCTTTTACTCT